GGCATCTTTCCTCTCAATTCCTTTTTAGCTCTATCAGCTTCTTTTCAGGCAACATCCATACTATGCTCCATTCTTCCCACTTCCCTGTTACCCTGATGCACGGAGTCTCTCCGCAGCAGGGCTGCTGACAGGATGATGGCTGCAGGCAGGGAGGTTTCTTCCCGGGAAGGACACGCTCAAGGCAGCTCCTGCACACACCAACTCCCCATATGGCCAGGAGGCAGCCCTCTCGGAGATAGCCGGAGCTGCCCAGGGAACAGAGAGATGCCATGGGCTGCAGTGGCTCCCGCGAGGAACGCGGAGCTGCCCTCACACATGCTGGCATCTTGTGAAGCTACAGCATCAAAACCAGGAAAACACTTGTGAACAGCCAAGTGGATGAGGGGCACGGACTCCCTCATCCCTCCCTAGAAACYTGCGCTCCTGTTTCCAGTTCAGGCTCCAAGCAAACTCCCAGGCGCACTTCCAGGAGGCACTTCTGCAGCTTGGCCATGCCGCCAGGCTCCAAGTGGGAAGCCTGAGGCTGGAATAGCAGACGTGTAGGGCAGGGGCAAGGAACAAGAGCATGTTCCTGGCTTTGCACTCACGTGCCGGCCTGGTCAGTGGCTGTGATGTCCGAGGTCCTGGCAGCTCCTGGCAAACCCCACGCTGTATGGCTGGCTGGACGGATGTCCATTCCTGCTGGCAGTGGATGCGAGTGAGAGCGAGAGGCCGCTTTGCACAGCAATACACATGGCCCAAGGTGCAGAGCAGGAGCACTCTCCCAACAGGCCAGAATGGGGAAATCCTGTCAGGAAAGCCTCCTCTCTCCAGCTCCGGGAGCTCTCTGCCAACTCAGGGCCATGCAGATGGGCATGCTCACTGAAAGACACCTGCTTGCAGCCTGCTCAGCCCAGCCAGGGCCCTGGGGACAGAGGAGGGGCAGCAGATACTGCTTTGTGGAGACTAGACAAAGACGAACCTTCCTCTGACTCAGGCAGCACACAGAGGACAGGGCCCAGCRGGCTCCCTTCCCCTGCCTCCAAAGCCATTAGGCAGGGCCTGCCACGCTGCAGAGCTCGTTCAGGTGGCTGCAAATCTGCCCTTTTGCTTCAGGCTTTGAGAGGGGCCTCCCAAGTGGAAAATACGCAGTGATTTTCCACAACCCACAGCAGGGCTAGGAGAGGAGTGAAGCTCTAGGGCTTCACTAGGAGTGAAGTTCTTAGGGCAAGGATGGAGTGAAGCTCTGGCMATCTCACAGTGATAGAGAGAAAATCCAGCAAGGCCTTGTGCACTGTTTGGGTTTGTTCCTCCCCGTCACAACCGTCGCTTCCCTTTAAGATGCTTGCTACCTTGGCTAGGCTTGGCTGCCTGGCAAACCTCTCCGGGCTGAGCAGCGACGGTGCCGAGCAGGCCGGCCTGCCCACGTACAACATCCAGCCACCCACGCTGCAAAGCAAGACACCAAAACCCTCGTGCCTACGGAGAGTGCCTCGGGAAGGCAGCGAGGTGGTTCCTGACCCACGTGGCCTGAGCCCATCACCACCAGGTCCAGGCAGGCTGGTGTGCCAGCTCGCTCATGGGAAGGAGCTGCTGCAGYAGCCGTCCCAGGGACTGTCCCCAAGGTTTGCTCTCCTCTCCTTTGTTCCCATCCTCTGGAAAGCAGACCTTCCAATAAAAAGGCCTTAACGGTACTGTCATTAAAGGACATGGAAACAAATCCGTAGGGCTGTCCCATTTTTCAATCACCTGCATTGTCTTGTTTCATCTCTGCACCAGAATTGCCCCAAGGAAGATCCAGCCCCAGTCTCTAGAAAGCCCCATCGCCCTCGCCTCCATTACCAGATTGCAGAGCTCTCGGMTGCTTTGATGTGCAAATCGGCTACTGGATCTATAATCAGCACTAGCTACMATTAACTGCACAGGGTTCCCATCAGATAGATCAGGTTCCAGCTGCCTTCTCTGATAATGAGGAGGTGCCACCTGCGGGGGTCCTGGGTCCCCAGCCTATGGTGTCACCTTGGCCGTGAGAACTGGGACAGGGCATCATGTCCTAGGAAGCTTATCTGGGGTTGCACCTCTGTGGTCAAGGTGAAGGAGGCAGTGGAGCTGCTGGCAGATCTTGACCGGGCTACACGTGACCCAAGGTATTTTAGTTACCTTTGGCTCAAGGAAGGCAAAATTAGCAATAGACAGAAGCAGACCAACATTTTTTCCAGATCTGAAGCTTTTATCAAGATCTTATGCTATTGGGGTGTTCTTAAAGCCCTAGCTCCTTGATACAAATGATTTCATAAGAGTATATTTTTTCTACACACACATTTATCAAAAGAAAAAAGGTAAGTTCCTAGCTCATTTTCTTGTCAAAGAAAGCTAAAAAAAAAAAAAAAAAAAAAAAGCTTAGTAAAGCAATATCAAAAACAACCAAAGACAATAGTATTTTTTTCCCCTCCCAACCTCATGAGTTTGGGACATTTCAGGATAGTGAAACCATGCTCTGGTTGAAGGGGAAGAAAATCAAGCATTGCAAAGCTTCACAGCAATGCTCTATCATCAACAAAGCCAGTGTCCTCAGAAAATAGAGTAGCTTCAGTTCCTTCCAAGGTTACTGAAGACGAGAACAGACAAAAATAGACTTTGTGCAACAAAATATACTTATGAGCCAAACAGGGTCTCTTCCCAACCCCCAGAAAGGCCTCTTCTCTCATGTTTATCTTCCTCCCATGCTATCTGGATGAAGCCCTCAGGAAGGSCCTACTATGCTGTACAGACAGCATATTCCCACAGCTAAAAGGGTCTAGATGCAGAAGGCCTTTCCCAGGTAGATCCAAGCTAATTGCAGCCATTAGAAGTCCTTAAAGCTTTGCTATTTCTGATTTGAGYGGGGTCCTCCTGGAGCTGGTTGCAAGCAGAGCGGCTCTCTACGCTCTCAGAGACRTTAGAGAATGAGAAGCTATCACACAGCACGGCACACGTGTCTGGSGGAAGGTTATCCGCCCCTGCAACGCACTTGCAAAGGCTGCAGCCCGTGCGAGGATGGGGCATCTGCAGGGCTCTTCCAAAGACACTAGCAAGATGATGGCATGCCAGTTCGGAAGGCTGGTGATTAAAGGAGCACAAGAAAGGGCTACCTGCTTTGTTACGTGGCCATGGACACCAGCCCTATCAAATAACTCTCCCCGCTAAGATCTCCAGGGCACAAGTGGCAGAGTGATATTACACACTCGCCTGTTCTCTTTGCAAACAACCCTCCTCCTCCCCAGCTGGCCAGCAACAAGGGTGACACACAGGGAGGGGGACACCACCCAGCACACTCTCCAGCCCTCCTGGGAGGAACATCGGCATCTCCCATGGCACCTAGCAGCAAGATGGGAGCTGGGGCCACCTGGTGAGAAGGGCTGCAAGCCCCCAGGTGAGCCCCAAAGCCGCATTCCCGGCTGCAGGCACCTGGGTTAGCCCCAAAGCCGCATTCCCGGCCGCGGGGCAGCCTGGGGGAGCTGCGCACGGGATGGCAGTGCCGGGTCCCACCAGACACCAGGGATGCCCAGGAGGGCTTGGACACGAGCGTGGCCAACACTGGGTAGCCCATGGCCAACCTTGGGTAGCCCATGGCCAATGCTGGGTGGCCAACACGGAGCTGCGGACACCCCCTTCCCACGGCTCCCGGCAGGGCGGGCRGGCACCGCCAGCGAGCCGGGGTGACCGGAGCCAGCGCGGCCCCCTTCCCCGCGGGGCAGGGGACGAGGAGGGCGCGGGGCCGGCCGGCCAGCCGCCCCCGCGCCTCCCGAGCCGCCCCGCGGAGCCGCCGCGGCCTTGGCGGAGGCGCCCGCCGCCCCCCGCCATTCCCGCCGCTCCCCGCCATTCCCGCCGCTCCCCGCCATTCCCGCCGCGGGCAGCGCTCCCGCCGCTCCCCGCCGTTCCCGCCCCAGCCGCTCCCGAGGGTGCCCGGTGGCACCGGCCCGGGGCGCGGGGCGGCGCCGCTCACCCCCGCCCGCCGCGGTGCGGCCCCAGCCCCGGCCCCGCCGCCGCAGTGAAAGGGAGGGGACAAAGACGGGATAAGATAAAAGGCGCCCGCCGGCAGCGGGGCGCACGGGAAACGGGGAAAGGCAGCAACAAGGCAACGACGAAAAGCAAATAAAATAAAATAAAATAAAATAAAATAAAATAAAATAAAATAAAATAAAATAAAATAAAATAAAATAAAATATCGCCGGGCAGAGCCGCGCCCCGCCGCGCCGAGCCGGGGCCGCGGCAGCCCGACCCTAAGATGGCAGCGCGGCGGCGCCGCCGCCG